CACGCTCAGTTAGTTACGTCAACAACAAATATTAATGTAGTTTCAACACAAATAAATTAAATACATTTCAATTTTAAATATATTAGGTAGAGTGAACAATGAAATTGATACAGAATGCTCAAAAACATGTTACTTTAGCTCATTTTAATTAAAATGAACAAGAGGCAAACTAGTTTTTGAGTGTAGTCACAACTACACACAAAACACTTAAAATAAACTGAACAGTAAACTTCTCACTGTAACTGCTGTAGAGTATAATTATACTAACTCTAGTTTCTCCAGCTTGCATTGTGTGTTCATCAGTAGATCACTGAGGTTTTTCACTCCAGAGTCTCCTAGTTTATTCCAGCTCAGGTTCAGTTCTCTCAGGTGTGATGGGTTTGATTTCAGAGCTGAAGTCACAGCAGAACAACCTTCATCTGTCAAATAACAGTATCCTAACCTACATTGAGAGAAATGAGAAAAGTCCCACTTCATTCCGTTTCATTAAAATAAAACACTTTTTTTACTCATCTGTTATACCACAATATTCTAACATGCATTGGGAGAAATATGAACAAAAAACAATCTTTTAATTTTGTTTTAGTCAAATACCAAAACACTTGTTTCTTTCATGTTGGTAAATGTTCTTTACCGCAATCTCTCCAGTTTACAGTGTGAAATCTTCAGTACGTCACATAAGTAATTCACTCCTGTGTTTTTTATTTGATTCCCGCTCAGGTTCAGTTCTCTCAGGTGTGATGGGTTTGATTTCAAAGCTGAAGTCAGGATGAGACACTGTTCCACTGTAATACTGCAATAAAACAGGCTGAAGACAGAAAGAGAAAAGACAATTAATCAGACACGTCATGTTCATGTGTAAGTTAAATTAATTATGAGCAGGGTTTGAAATTAACTTTTTCACTCACCAGCCAAATTTGGTTACTAAATTTTCAAGTTACCGGCCATTCACAACTTCTACTAGTCAAAAGATGAAATAAATAACAAAAAAGGGCCAGAGGTAAACCAACAGCTTGAGGCTGTCCACACTGGATGCGACAAAGTGACTGTTGCAAATAATTTGTACTGTATGTCAGGATTTAGGCCTACGTCATAAATAGAACTAGGAATCAGTTTACTGTCGGGGGATTTGCGGTGTTGTGCTGTGCCGCATCCAGTGTAGACAGCATCACTGATTATAATGGGTTCTATAGCATTTTGTCGCGTCCGGTGTAGAAACGGTCTGAGTTCCGGAGAATTCACGGCAAATGCAACAAACTAATAGCCTGCATTTTTTTGTCACAAAGAAATGCACTTGACAGTATAAGCATTGATTTTGTGCTAGAACACAGGATGTTCCCTATCGATACTCGTACTGCTTCTGCTAAGACGCTATGGTGAAAACTTTTTCTCAGAATACTGAAAGTGTAACTGTACGGCCATTGGTTTCTGCAGTGTATTAAATCTAACCAATGGCTCGGCAGAAGAGCTGCACAAGCCTATGACGAGTGAGCCCACGCCGGCTGAGACCCCACGTGACTCCCCCGTCCTCTTCTCTCATCCGGACCAGCATCCCTCTGCAGCTGTGTGCGATCTGGTCTCGTTTGGTGGGAGCGAGTGTGACACCATGGACGACAGTGTGTCTCTGGCTGCTTCAGATGCGGAGGAGCCGTCGGGCTCGTCTTTCGACCCCGCCCCCCTGCCGTCTGCAGAGCCCAGCAGTGCCAGCACAGGGAAGGATGCCGAACATTTCCTCATCTTGTCTAAAGCGGTGCAAGAGCTGAGTTTGGATTGGTCTCCACCGGAGGAGCCCACCCGCAGCCACCGGGATGAATGGTTCTTGCCGGGGCGCCGTCAAACCCCTCAACAACGAGCTTCACTATTCTTTCCAGAAGTCCATGATGAGATCACCAGATCTTGGCGCGGCCCCTTACTCAGCCCGCCTGCGTGCCTCCTCTTCGTCCGCCCTCAAGGTCGATGGCGCAGAAGAAAAAGGGTATGACAAACTGCCTCCCCTGGATGAGTCAGTGGCCGCGCATCTCTGTCTGCCCACGGCCATCGGCTGGAAGACAAAGACCGCCCACCCGTCCAAGCCACGTAGGATGACTTCAGCGCTCGCTGGAAAGGCTTACTGTTACAATTCACTCTGCTGGACAAGCGGCCTCGGCGCTTCACTCTATGGCGGTCCTACAGGTCCATCAGGCCAAACTTCTCCAGAATATGGACGAGTCTGGACCGGACCCCGCAGCTTTCAAGGAGCTGTGCAGCATGACCAAAGTGGCTTCATGTGCCACCAAGATGATGGCTCAGGCGATCGGCAGATCCATGGCCAGCCTTGTGGTGCTTTAGCATCACCTATGGTTGACCCTCACGGTGATCAAGGATGCAGATAAAGTTCCCTTCGCAAACGCTTCACCGCTGCGCAGAAGTCGTCCCAGCCAATGCGACACTTCTTGGCAAAGCGCTCCAGTTCTGCAGCTGCTGCCAGTCGCTCCAAGATTGCACCTACTTAGCAGCCCGCGAAGCACGCATCATCGACTGCACCGCCGGCCTCTAAGCCTGAGCCTCGACATTGCTCCTGCTCAGCTAGACGCTACCCATTCCCTAAGCGCCAAGGACCCCGGCCCAAGGTAGTGCTGGACCTGGCGCATCAGGCGTTAACCTGATCTGCGGGACAGGAAGAGGAGAGGGCAAAATCTCACCATTGCCGGACCACCCCCCAAGCAGCCTCTTTTGTGCCTCCAAGCACCCCGTTCTCTTCCGGGTGCCAATGGCAATGTGTTTGTGGTGAATACTGTTGTGAACCCTGGGCCCATTCAGTTAGCGCCCACACAACCGATCGCTGTTATAGCGAGAAAAATAAAACAAACATTTTCAAAAAGAGAGCAAAATTCCTCTTCTGCTTATCACGAGTGTTGGGTCCCCGCATGGCGACCTGTCGATCAAACCAAATCAACCCGTTGCCATGCGGGCCGAGGCCTGGCAGGCCATCCCCGGAGTGTCAAAGTGGGTTCTGGGGATAATAGAACAAGGTTATTCACTTCAATTCACTCGAAGATCCCCGCGGTTCAGCGGCGTGGTCTCCACCTCGGTTCAGAGCAAGGACACACATGTCCTGCACGCCAAGGTGATGAATTTGCTTGCAAAAGGAGCCATAGAAACGGTTCCCCCAGCTCAGTGCGAGTCAAGCTTCTACAGTCGAAATTTCCTCGTCCCCAAAAAGAATGGTGGCCCAAGGCCC